GTGGGACCCGAACCTCATGGTAAGAAGGTGGTTTCAAACCAGGGTCATATTGTCCAATAGCTTCAAACATTGCTGCAAAACTTTCATAGTTCACAACATTAAAGGGCATTCTCGTGTCATACATCTATCAGGCAAATGCTATGATGGCTCTTTCTCTCATTTCCTTTCTAAAAGGATCATTGGCATCAATATTCATTTGTCTCCCCTTGGCCTTTCAATTTTGCACCACAAGATTCGGATCAGGGGTAAAGTATACATTCATAAGCCCTTTTTGTCTTGGATTTTTTTGTTAGGATGTAACTTGTGTAGAACCTAAACTAGAACTAGCCATGGATCTTTTACGATGCGCAACAATCTCTACAATATCATCTTCATCCTCCTCCAAGTCATTAGGCATCTCATCAAAATAGGGAACCATGTTCATTAGATTCTTCTATTCCTTTTTTTTAGCCATGTATTCTCTAATCTCCTCCCTAACATGAGCAGGGCATTTTGGACAAGTAATAACACTCGTAGAGTTCCCCGTAAGGTGTTGTTTGACCCGATAGACACCTCCATTTGACTCTTTTTCACAAAAATTACATTTGACCTTGTTTGGGTCTTGAGGATTTACCAAGTGTGCATATTTTCATGCCGGATCTTTTTTGTTCCCTTCAGACGACGATGCCATTTATTTGTTTATGAAAAACACTATCACATTACAATCAAAGGAACAAAACACATTCATATGTACTGAAACACATTTCATAACAGTTGTAAACATTTTCATATTGATAGGACAGGACAACAAAAGAAGCAGAATCAGGACAGCAGCAAAATAGAAGCAGCACAGGACAGCAAAACCGAAGCAGAATTAGGATAGAAGCAGAATGAGGAAAAAAAACAGAAGCATAATGATCATGACAGGAGCAGAATCAATTGTAAACAATTTCATATGTATTGAATAAAAAAAGCAAAACAAGGGCACATTCACATGTACTAAATAACATTTCATAACAACTGTAAACAATTTCATATTCCACATGTATCAAAAAAAAAAAAATTCACATGTATTGAATGCATTAAGTGTTGAGTTTTCATCTGTTTGTATAATTTTTTTAAACGTTTAATTCCATAAATATCAATTAAAAAAAAAGTAATGTGTTTTGTTCGGAGCATTGCTTATCAGAAAAAAAAAACACAGACTATCGATGTGAGAAAAGAATAGCAGGGAAAAGAAGAAAGAAGACAAAAATAGAAAGGAAAAGAAGAAGAGACTTATCTGTTTCCTGTGTCGATGAGGAAGCAGCAGTAGTGGTCAACAGTGCAGCGATCGTGTTCCCTGTTTCCAACGATGGTCCAACAGCTTCGGCGATGGTCCAGCACTCCAGCTCCAACGATCGTGTAGCAAAGCTCCAGCGAAGACAATCTGCAAAAAAAATTAGGTTTGGGTTGTATTTATGGGATAAGGGAACAATTCGGTGTATCCATGTCTTAAAATTTTTTTCCCAATTGCCTAATCAACGACCCATAATCAAAATAAAAAAAAATCGTCTGGGACAATTAAGGCGCTCGCCTTATCGACAGGCGCTTGCTTTGTTCACTTTTTGCTCGCTTCGGCCACATTCGCTTCGCCTAGAGTCCTCCAGGCGAGATACCTTTGCCTTGCCTCACTTCTCACCTAACCGTGCTTTTCAAAACACTGATTTCATTAATACTCTACCAACTATTCAAGTCATCAACATAGTTCACTAATATTATAATACAAAGTTCACAACCATAGTCCACTTATTAAAACTTCAAACACTAAAGAAACTTCTAATCCAAATTTCTAACATCCATTTTGAACTCAATCTTCAATTTCAATAGAAAATGCATAATCATCATCATTGTGATCGGATGCCAACAAGTCTTCACTTCCTTCATCATCTTCAACTTCTTATATTTGTTCATCATCATCCTCATCCTCATCTTCAAATTGAACTATTTGCTTCCCTTTTTTCTTGTTTAAAGAAAGATTTCTAGGCACTAGAAAACAAGCAATACAAAATATAAATATATATATATATTCAAAGTAATGGAGAAGAAGAAAAACAACCACTACATTTTAATTATATACTATTTACCTCTCTTTCTCTTTTTACTAGTCCCTTTTTGAACCTCAAAACATTCACCAACATTCATCCAAGTAGTGTCCTCAGGAAGGAGTGCATCTTCTTTTTCAGTGATCCACTCATCATTAGATTCCATATCTGAGAGAGAAATAGGATCATAGGAATCACCCTCTAGTATTCTCTTTTGGTGTCTTGCCTTTAATCGAAGATTGTACTTCACAAACACAAGTGCACTTAATCTTTGTTGCTCTAATCGATTTCTCCTCTTAGAGTGCACTTGGTCAAATGTACTCCAATTCCTCTTACATCCTTTGGAACTACAACTCAAGCTAAGGACGTGAATAGCAAGTTGTTGTAACTCTGGACAACATCCTCCAAATGATTCCCACTAGAAGGCTATAAAAAATTACAATATAATACTGCATTAACTAACTTAAGCAATTGTGTTAAATGACTAACTTAAGTTAGGTTACCACTAACCAGGTTGATTCTTCTTCCTCATCTGGATTGTCATGTCCATTCCAAACATCAAATCAACATTGTCAAAGATATCTAATTGTTTATCAACTTTTTCTCTCACAATAGGACTTGTGCACATTCTCTGAATAATCTGATAAAGTCCTATCTTTATCTCATAATCCGCACTACCGTTGTAATAAAACCTGAAATAGTTATTTTGATTTACAATGATAATTGATCAGTATACAACATATAGATATAAAATGATATAAAAATTGAGAAACTTAAATCGTACATTGGATTGAGATAATAGGCAGCTGCATGAAGAGATCTATGTAATTGCATGTTCCATCTAGTGTCAACAATAGTCCATATGGGCTCATAGTGTTTCTTCACATTACGAAAATTCTTTTGGATTTATTCCTTTGCCTTGTCCATTGCCTCGTAAATATACCTCATGGCAGGCTTTATATCCCCATCTACAAACCTCAACACCTTCACCAATGGCAACACACACTTCAAGCAATACTAGATTGATCCCCAAAAAAGTTGGTTAGCTAGTATCCATCACTTTTACACCATCTCCCTTCTTAAAGTATTGACTTCTCTGCCATTCTTCAAAAGTAAACATTGCTCTAAGCCCAATTTTATTCTCAAATAATCTCCTTAAAGTTAAATATGAGGTGACAAATCTAGTCACACAAGCTCTCACCAAATCCCTTTTCTTTGTAAACTTCCTCATGAGATTTAACACTCAAGAATGTTTATAAATATAAACTGTGATTTTTCTTGCCTTTGCCATTATATCCTTGTGTAGATGAAAGTCTCCAATATCCGTTAAAATAAGTTCTAGACAATGTGAAGCGCAAGGAGACCAAAACAACTTTTTCCTCTTTGCCATTAACAACTCCTCAGCTTTTACATAAGCCAATGCACTATCAGTCACAACTTGAACAACATTATTCTCACCAATCTCTTCTACCATTGAATCTAAAAGTTGAAAAAAATGATCCGCATTCTTACAAATTCCTGAAGTATCAATACTTTTAAGAAACACACTTCATCTAGGACTATTCACTAAAAAATTAGTGATAGAGCGATGTTTCCCATCAGTCCATCCATCTGAAAAAAGAGTACAACTCGTCTTTCTCTATTCTGCTTTATAATTTTTCATCAATCCACCATTAATCATATCTGTTTATTTTTTTAAAAAAATTTCTCACCTCATGATACGATGGAGGTTTTAATCCCTTGCCAAACGATGCAACAGATTCTAAAATTCTTACAAAATATGGATCATTTGTCAAATTAAAAGGAAGGACATCAATATAAAAACATCTACACATATCCAAACATACATCTTCTCTACCCTTTTTCTTCAACATGGTATTCAAAGTAATGGTGGTAGTTGGTTGTATTTTATCAACAGTAGTACTACCCACTGCCACTACTTTTCAAATCCACAAGACTCATATCTTTGCAAGAAGCCCTATCATCCAACAATTGCTTAAAAAATTCAGTTACTTCCTAAGGGCAATGCTACATCTTTACAATTACTTGTCAAATGATTTTTCATTCTTGAAATACCTCCCCAATAGACATTTGCACAATGAATGCATTTCAATTTCAACCTTAATCCTTCTACTTTGTCACAATTTTCTCATGTGGGATCATTAACAAGTTTTTTAGTTATTTCTATATGAAAATAGGATGCTGATGATGCCACTATTTCACAAAATTAAAATTAGTCAAAATTCAGAAATTTTTATACAAATATATTTGACTTTGTAAATAAATTAACATCATTTCTTCCACTGCATAGGACAGGACCAAAGGTTTGTTGGAGTACTTGGAGAAGGAAGAAGAAAGAAGCTTCGATGGAGATTGGACTTCGATGGAGGCAACTTAGATGGAAGAACAAAGAGAAGGCTACTATGATCGTCGTGGAAGACCAGCAATTCGAAGGCAACGAACAACGAAGGCAGCTTCTGTGATCATTGTCAGCGGCTGAACAGCGAACAACGAAGGCAGCTACTGTGATCGTCGTCATCGGCTGAAGAACACGCAGGAGTCGAAGACGTTCGCTGAACAAAGAAGGAAAAGAGGGATTTAATTTTTTTTTGCAAACCCTAGCTACTTAAACGACGTTGTTTCAGTGGTTACAAGGATAAAAAAATCAGGCTGCCTAGTCCAAAACGACGTCGTTCCATACAAAAAAATAAAAATAAAAATAAAAATAAACAAACTTTGCACGTATCATGTTGTAAAAACGTATCGTATATCGGACGATACAACACAAAAACGATACAAAACTATGATCCGTATCATTTTAGTCTTGTATCGTGACGCATCGTACGATACTAACAATTATGTCTCAGACAAATTTGGTCTGACCTCTTTCGTATATATTCAATGCACATTTGTATCTAATACCTATCAGATAGAGAAATGTTGGAATATCCATGCTTGGAGAAAGAAAAAGAACAGAAAAATAAGAGCGCAAATGGTGGACATGTATACAATCATGTGTGTATTCATTTGAGGTGTGTGATTTTGAGTAAGGAGTTAAGAAGAGGCATGCATGCCGCGCCAGCAAGAAAAAATGACTTGAACCACATGGTATGTGAGACATGTACACAGACTGAGCATGTCATCTAACACCTTATCTGACCCTGGTCTCCAGGGGACTTTGGACTATTGGCTCCCACAATCCATCCCATAATCTTCAGAAAATATCATCCACATATTGAATGGAAATTCAAGAGGTATTTCAGCAACTGGAATGCAAATGCAGGAGAATAATGAAAGGAAAAATTCTAGGCAGAGATTTAGGATGGAGCACGTGGTGAACCACCTCACTTACCTTATCCTCATTCCAAGCAGCTTATATCAACGTCTCTGTTATCACAGGAACAACATACTTCAATTTCTTCACATATCATCGTTTGGTTCTTGAATGTCTTTCATATTTCTTTCCCTTAATTTTTTCCTCTTTGTTTGCTCTTCTTTTCCTCACAAAACTATCGTCTCTCTCTATTTTTCTTTTCTTCTCTATACATTGTGCATAGCTTCTCTTCACATTTCAAATATTTCTTCTTTACACATTACACAAACCTCGTCTCAACACAGAAACACATACCTCACGTGCACCATGGTTGGATGCATGTTCATCTGTTTGCTCTCCTTTATTTTCCCCGCTTATGTTCTCTTGGTTTTTCCCACTCATTCAACCTCATTATTATAGATTGCACACAGGAAGCATATGAAAGTGGTTGCTGTCACTTCATGCGAAGTTCCATATTTTAACACTTTTCTCCCTCACTTCATATAACATGGTTACTCCCAATGAGAAGCCTGACTTACATGTTCATAAATTACAGATTGATCCCAACATAATTTAGTATATGTTGTTCTTGATTTCCTGGGGTGATATGTTACAGTTAATTTGACAAATTATCTGAAAAAGAAGTTAGGTGGTTTATCATATTGGTCTTCTGACTCTTCTCACTGAGTTGACCAGAAAATAAACAATCTTCCTTGCAAGAGGCACACTTACTCTCTTCTAGATGAAAGGTGCAAGGTGCACTCATCCTTTTCTTGATGAGAGGACCGATATGAATTTCCTTAAGTCACCCTTCATACACTGTGGGAAAAATAGCTGTGGAACTAAAATATCATGTGATGGAATACAAAAGTTGATGCATATTGAGCTACCTTAACAATTTACGTATTTCAAAAGTTAGATTTATGGTTGATGCTATCTCTCTTTACCCGCCTTTATGTTCTATCCATTTTGTTGCCCTTGCAGGTTTCTGTGCTTGCTGATGACATCCTAAAGAACGTAGAATATGATGCCTTGAGGATTGTTTTCAACAAGTTCCAGTCGGTTGTGTCCTTTGTGCCGACAGTGGCAACCTTATTGTCTCCTGAGGTTACTAGTTTCTACTGACTTAATTAATCCACACTGATTTCATTTTGGGTTCTTTTGTTTGTGGAAGTTGATTTGATGTTTTGTTTGTATAGGTTGTGGAGAAAGAAGCTAAATCTGGGGGAAAGCTTAGTGAGTTGGATTCCTATGAGATTGGAGGTGACGAAACAAAGTAAGAAGTTCTTCAGAACCTAACAGAATTCCAGTTTTCTTGTGTAGGTCCCATCTTTCATGGCTAGAACCCATTCTCCAACTGTTTTATTTTGACTGTAGCCAGCATTATTTTGATTTCATAAAACCATCTACGGTGTGATTCTCACATGCTAGTCAGGGACGTTTAATCTCTACATTTGTTGATTTTTCCAACATTCTTGGATTTGAGCATGGGTGAAAAGTTCATGCTGGTTAATTAGCCATATTTCTATGGAAAATACCGTCTATAATTTGCATACCAGCATTTTATCTACACTCTGTTTAACTTGAGATTTCTTTCTAATTTCCCTAAGTTATGTTCAATGCGGTTATGGAGAATGCTTGTAGTGAGCAAGGAGCAAGGATGTCTGCCATGGATAGTTCCAGTAGAAATGCTGGCGATATGCTTGATCGCCTCACACTTACTTATAACAGGTTCTCTCTCTCTCTCTCAGAGAACAACAGCACACGCCAACCCTCCCCCCACACCTAACCATCTCTTTTTATTATGGGAAATGAACTAAAAAAACATGAAATTTTAATTTGTTTTGTACGAATGCAATCTGATTTCACTGTCTTCTGTAATTAGAACTCGTCAAGCATCTATCGCCACTGAACTGATTGAGATCATATCTGGAGCATCAGCATTGACGGGCTAGTTGTGCAATCTTCGGCAGACGGTGACAAAATAAAACCGTAGTGAAGACTTTGTTTGCCCTTGGTGGTGTACCTTTTGAGAGTTTTTCTGTTCAGTGACGCTAATAATTTCCCTGGGTGAACTGCATTTCCCGGAAAAATCATCGTTGTGGTTTCAATATATTCTAAAATCTTTTTTATTTTCCCAATGGTAACTCTGGCTTAAATGGGTGGTTTGACCATATTATTCTCCTTTATTTTCACGACACCGATTATTTATTGTTGGCAACATCTGATCAGGAAATTGCATTTTTTTTAAGCAAGAAACTTGTTGCATCCATGTTTTATTATTGGCAGTGGTTGTAGGTGGCTTGGACTTTGATAGAAATAGAGGTGGTTATTTCTTGGAAGTAAGTAACTCCACGCGAGCCTCGTATGAGACTCGAACCCTTGCACACCCGGAATGCTAGTTATTAAAAATTAAAGTTTATAATTCATATTTGTTTACGGGCATACAAATAATTGTGTGCAGATGGATATACCTATTTTGCATTATACATATTCGTAGCATTTGCTCCAAAAAATATTGGGATGATTCTGATTAAGAAAAAATGAAATTATCGTTTTAACTGATTTACCAGTTTTCACCCACTGCACTGAAGCAACCATCATACAAAAAATGCCAAAAACGAGTGTCATTAAACCCGAAAAATTGGTGACCCGGTTCCAAAGGCGGGGCTGGTTCTGTTATTGGATTCGTTAAAGAACCATTAAACTGGGCGATTGAAATCAAATCAGGTGGGTCAATATTCTTCATACGATTCTCTCTCTCTCGCGCGCGCGCTCAGAGACGCACACTTTTACCTTTGTTGAGACAGTTGCATAGTCTTTTTCTGTCACGCCATTAGCTCAGTAGCTTTAAATCCATGTAAAGAATGGAGCCCCAACCCCTCACCACTCATGCTCATTCTGGTCCTCTCTCTCTCTCTCTCTCTCTCTCTGAGAATTTGTGTGTAGTATAATGTGTACAGGGTGTTTAGTTTGCTCATATTATAATTTCTGATTAAGGATTACTGTCGATCAAGCTTGGTCTTGGGATTGGTGCCTTTGGTTCTGGAGGACGGAGCCATGCGAATGCCATCACACACCATGGAAAGTCTGCGTTCACAGCTGCACAGGAGTATGAACTCCATCAACAAGCCCTTATCTTCAAGTACATAGTCTCTGGCCTCCCTATTCCATTTCACCTTGTTCTTCCCATTTGGAAGAGTTCTGGAAGCTCCATTGGCGCTGCCAGTGGTGGAATCCATAACCAATTTCCAAGATGTAAGTGGGTTTCTTTGTTTATTTCATTTCTCAGCTTGTTTATGTGCTAATGAATGTTTTGTTTTAGGGTTCTTGTGTGTGTGTGTGTGTGTGTTATATCTTAGGGTTGGAGTTTGAGATGGGTTCGGTGTTTATTTGACTGATTTTGCCGTGTTCTTAAAGATTTCTGTGGTAATTTTTGTATGGGTTTTGCTATGGTCTCATAGGTTTATGTCTACTAGACGTGAAAGTTAAGATGGGTTTTCGCCGTATTTATGTGCTAACGAATGTTCTGTTTTAGGGTTCTTATATAATTCGGCTTTTGTATGTGCTAACGAATGTTTTGTCTTTGGATTGGAATTTGAGATTGTTTGGTGTTTGTTTGACCTATTCTGCTGTGCTCTTAAAGATTTGTGTGGAAATTTTGTTAAGGGTGGTTTTGCAATTTTATGATAGGTGAATGTCTACTAGACTTGAAAGTTAAGATCGGTTTTCATCTTATTAATGTGCTAATGAATGTTCAAGTTTAGGGGTTCTTATACTTTGTCTTAAGTTTGGAATTTGAGATGGGTTTGGCATTTGTTTGACTGATTTTTGATGTGCGCTTAAAGATTTATGTGGAAATTGTGTTATGGGTTTTGCTTTATTATTATAGGTTATATCTACTAGACTTGAAACTTGAGATGGGCTTCTGCCAGGAATTTCGCCATTTCTTACTATCACATTGATGATGTAGGAGATGCCTTTTTGTCCATTATACTTTTGATGGACAGCAAGTGAACATGACCAATGGTGTTGTGTTTCAGATGATGCATTGATACTTTTGTCGCCTTGTGCTATTCACAATGTTATAAGAAGGGTTAATGTGTGTTATACTTGCCATTTGGATATTTGATGATTTCGTTTGATTATGTGGTTTTCCTTGAGGAACTTAAATATGAGTTTTGGTTTTTCATATTGTTGGGTCTATACAGTACTTGGTCTTTAAGTTGGATTTTGTGGTTTATATTGGTTGTGTTTGCGTCTTTTATGTTTATCTATGAAACTATGATCTCTGTCTTGTTCTTTTGATGCTGTTTTGAGTTCATCAAACTTTAGATTTGTGAAAGGTTTATGCTCGTTACATTTGTAGTAGTCTTTTTTTTTGGGTAAGTTAGATTGATAGTAGTCATTGCCATTGCTTTATACGTAAATTTTTTGTCCAATTGGTTTTGCAGAGATGGTTTGTGATTATTTTGTCTTGCTTTGAAATGGCTTATGTTGATTCGATTAGTTTCCTTGGTTTCTGTGAAGGTTAAATTAGACTAACTGCCATTGATGTTTAGGCTTACAACACAGGGTACCACTTATGTCTGAGCAATTACAGTGACTCCCTAGAGCTAGAGGTTGTAATCACTATAATCACTGTTTCCTGATGTCATAACGAAAACCCCAGGAAGGCAATTTTCCCCATCGATGTTCCAACTGATCAATGAAATAGGTCAGCCATTCGCTCAATTTATCATGATGAAAATGCTCCTGTCTATAGTTGAATGAACTACCCACCCCTTATTCTCTCTTCTTTTTTTCTTTTCTGTTCAAACCAATGAGCACTTCCTTACCTATTACCACAACCCATTCTTTTGAGGGATAGGGACCATATTCTCTAGGTTCATCAGGTGGGTGGGAGTTGCAACTTATTCATATATGTAGAAATTTGTTCGTGTATATTGAGGGCCACAATGGAATGATAATGAAAGGTGGACATGCTATGGTGAAACCATGGTAAGATAGCCCCCAATTATCATACAGATACACAGACATACAAAGGCAGACATAGTAGAGTGATTCCAACCTCAGTTCATGTCCGATGATATAATGGGGATACATTCCAAGAATCAATGGTTGTAATATGTTGTGAATGGGCTCACACCCTATAAGTTTTGGGTGTGTTTGGATAATGGGGTTGGATAGGGTAAGATTACTTTTTTTATATTCCAACCCATCCAAGTCAAACCAACTCATCCACTTTAAAACCTTAACCTTGGAATATATTCAATCCTAACCTTTGTTTGGGAAACAAATATGTAATTCAGTGGACCCCATAGATTACACAAATAATTTTGTAGTAATTTACCATTATACCCATGACTGTATCCATTCTAATCTAAACCAATTTTATCCTATATTTGGATTGGCGGATTATTCTAATAAAATTATACATTTCTCACTTATACATGCATATAATTGATTCATAAACTCTTGAAATTAGCATGAATCCCTTGCACCAAGGTTAATTAGAGTCCCCATTTTTGTCACTGACAAAGAAAATGCTTGAAAATAGGAAATATTAAACAGAATATGACATTTTGTAAATTCATTCACACAATCAAAGCTAAAAAATGCACTCCAAACACAACATTACATTGTGTCAAACTCCCAAAATGAATTGAAACTGCTTCACTTTCTTGCTAAAACCATCGAAAGAACAAATTTTTCTCCAAACAACTAATTTGGGTACCCCTTTCCTACGTGAACCCAATGGTATAACACCTAATTGCAATACACACACTCACATTCTTCCAGAATCAATGGAAGCAAATTTCAACTATTTTCTGCTCCAATCATATTGCCGCATAGCAGCTACAATAGCAAATTGAAGCAACACAAAGCCTTCCTTTGACTGCTTGAACGCCTAGGACCATCACAATAAAACCACCCCACATACAAATAAACAACAAAAGCAAATCATATACTCGTACCACATAACACTTCAAAATACTACCATATGAAAAATTCAAGAGTAAAAAGAGGTTCTTTCCGCTAGGGACTTCGGAGATAGAGAGAGAAAAAGAGGTGTTGGGGTGGAAATAAATGGTGGGTGTGAAGGAGTTTTGAGAGGAGAGAGAGTGGTATTGCTGCAAAAAGAGCTTAGGGCTTTGAATGTTAAAACTCAACCTAGCTGGGGATGGAGATAAAAAGAGGTTTAACATTCCTTTGGTTTATGGTCTTCCGCCTGTGGTTTTTTGAATCTTTTACTCTAAAAATTTTTCACCTTGAGCTTCGCAACGATGGATGATGAAGGATGGAGGAGCTACCTAGTAGTGAGTACTGTGAGTGGGTGGAGAAAGAGAGAAGGGCAAATACGTCTGTGTAGGGGGTAACCCATTGCCTGGGTTTGTAACCCATGGGAGGGGTAGGTTAAGTGTGACCAACCTAGGGGGTTAAAGGGTACTGTAACAACCGGGTCAAGACTTGACTCGGGATTGGTATCTGTTAAAAATAGAGGATAGTATGTGTAAATTGTTAATAGAAAGAGGGTGTATGTGTAATTCTTATTATTGTAGGTTAACTATAAATACAAATGATGTATAAGAGCTAGGTTAAGTTTTTAACCTCTCTGTGTTTCTCCCTAAATATTGTCTCTAATATTATGTTAATCTTCCAAACTTAACATGGTATCAGAGCAAGGTTACAATCCTAAATATATTTCTTAAATATATTTGTGGTCTGTTTGTGGTGGTGTTACTGTTGTTTGTTGAAGCTACAGTGGTAGTGGTACTGTTGTTCGCCGTCGTGTGTGCGATTCGTTGTGGTGGTGTAGTGTTGATTCCTTCGTTGTGGTGTAGCGATCGTGGTGGTCTGTTTTTCATTGTGGTGGTGGTTGCGCAGTCGAAGACTATTGTTGTTTGTTCGTTGTGGTGGTGTAGTGGGTGTAGTGATCGTGGTGGTCTGTTCA